AAGTCTTAGTTCTATTTTGCCATATTTGTCTCATGCACAAAGAACGACATTAAGAGCCAGGTACAGTGAGTGGTTCACGCTTGTATTCCTAGCTACTTGGGAGGTTGAGGTCAGGAGGATTGGCAATTTGATGCTAGCCCGGGGGAAAAAAATTCAGGAGACCCCACCTCAAAAGCTGGACAAGGTGGTGTGTGCCTGTCATTCCAGCTACTTAGGAAGCATAAATAGGAGGACTATGGTCCAAAGGGGCCTGGCATAAACATGAGATCCTTTTCGAAAAATAACTAAAGCAAAAAGAGCTCTGAGTGTTGTTCAAGGAGTAGAGTGCCTACCTGGCTAGTGCAAGCTCCTGAGTTCAAACCTCAGTACCCAAAATAAATAAACAAACATAAACCAAAAAACAACATACAGGTTGGGACAGTATTGGAAATCCTACTGGCCTTCTGATTGGTTCTTCCTGAGGTCAGATCTGCTTCAGAGGTGTCTCCCTTTGCCTCTTGACCTGCTTTTTCATTTTCTGAGCTGCCAGAATCTTCCAACCCTTTGCATTGGAATAGGACCTTGGTGTCTTTTTTTCCTTCTTCTCCTACCAAATCTTACACAGGCCCTTCCATTTTAGAGGGTTTAAGTACTAACCACTTTGAGGAAACAGGCAGAGGGGAGACTAGCACTTTTCTGTTTGGGCTGGAATATTTTCTCCTGAGTTCCAGACTATTTTTTTTTTTACTAACTCTAGTTGTCTTCTGTACCACATCCATGATTATATCTGGCACCAGTACTTGGAAACTTCATGCTCACCCACAGACTGTTTTGCAAAATGCATTAATTAGCTTATTAATTTATTTGTATCTTTATATTCCAAAAACTGGTGTCAGGGATGACTATAGCCACAAGACACTTAGACATCTGAAATGGTGGACATAACTTGATTCTAACAAGTGCCCAATCTTTCAACACCTCTGTAGGTTGGAATGCCCAGAGCACAGACCTTGGACCTCTCTTTCCACTCATTTTTTAAGGAATGCTTGTCCAATTCCATAAATTTACTACCTTTATATTGTTGATGACTCCAGCTCCCACTCCCCACTGAACTTCAGACTCTTTTCTAATTGTCTGCTGCCACAGCCAACCCTTCAGCAAGTGCTAGTGGGTACTCTGAAATATAGCTCAAGTCTGTCCATGTATGATTTCTACCAGCATTGCCATTCTAGTTCAAGCCCTTACTATAAGCACCACCTATGATTTCCTTGCTTCTGCTCTTGCCCCATCCCCTTTTAAAATGTAGGTTATGATTCTATGCCACTCAGTCCCCCCTTCCCCCAACTTCTTATTAACAAGGTCCTATCCCACCTGGCTTTTGACTCCCTCTGTGCCTTTGTCTTCTGTGAGTCTTCCTGCCACTCATTTCCTTCTGGGTCCACTGGCCCAGCTTTCTTCAGCCACCCAGGCACATTCTAACCTCAGAGGTTTTCCATTTGCTCTTCTCTCTGCCTTAAACTCCCTTTCTCCAGATGTTTATGTGGTTTGTTCCTTTGCTTTATTTGGATCTGTGCTCAGATGTCATTTCCTTAAAGAGGACTTTCGATTCTTTATTAGTTATCTTGCTTAAAGTAGCACCCTTCTAAAATTGCCATCTTACTGTGGCTTTTTTCTTCTATAGTTCTTACCATTTTCTGACATTGTATTAAAACTGTTTGGTTATTATTTGTGTCCAGGGTCAAATGTGAGCTCCAGGAGGACAGAGAGGATAAAGGAATTGTCTGTTTTGTTCACTGCTGTATCCTCAGCACTCAGAACAGTGCCTGAATCACATAGAATAATACATATTTGTCTGGGATGAATGAGTGAATGCATAACTAAGTATGAGAAGCGTTCTGAAGGAATGCTCAAACTTGCTGGACAGGGTCCATACTGCTCAAGTTCCCATCTCCCTGCATAGATCAGTTATCCATGTGAGGAATGCATACTTCCATTGCTCCATGATACCCTCTCTTTTGAATCCTTTCTAGCATTAGTTCCCTCTTTCACCTACTCTCCCAGGTTGTACTTTCCTTCTCCATTCCACAAAAATGGCCTTTTAGGATTGATTTTACAACATAATACATGCTTACACATAAAAAGAGCAGTTTCTGTTAGGAGAGGAGGGTGATGAAAACAGAAAATAGGGAAAGAAATTAGAGGCATGGACCAATTAAATTCCAAAGTTCTGAAGGAACCTACAGGTACCTTAAAGGTGTTATCACAAAATGAACAAATGAGAAAGACAACAAAAGATTGTCCTTTTTTCTGGTTAGAACTCACTGAGAGTCTGATGTTCCATATCTAATTCTGGGGGTTTTTATGGTTGTTGTTTTTTTGCTGTTTTGGATATGAAACACAGGCAAGTGCTCTACTACTGAGCTACATCCCTAACTTCAGCACAAGGTTTTTAAAATGACAAAAGGATGTCTTCAGATATGGCAAACAGTACAATGAGAATATAACATATGAGTAATAGTTGAACAACAATAATCATTGCAAGCACTGTGTGCCAGGCATTATTCTAAATATTGTTTAAATCCTAGTCCTATGAAGTAGAGGCTGTCATGTCTATTTTCAGACAAGGAAATGAAGGTGCAGAGGTTAAATAACTCCCTCACTGTCACACAGGTAGTAATAGATAGAGCCAATGCTGATTTCAGAGTTCAAGTTCTTCACCATCATGATGTTATCTTTGAAGAGACACTACTGAAGAAAAACTGGGGCTAAGGCAAAAGTTCCAAGAAGGCAGTTTTAGCCTTAACCTCAGGTTTCATAAGTCACCACTTTCACAGCTAGTCCAGTGTATTCTGAATGTACTCCTATAATAGGACCAGTAACAACATTTATTAAACTTACTAGCTTCTCTTTCTGCCTCTTTTAACCAATATTAAGGATTGTATTTGATTCATTTTTGAGCCGTTAAAGTGTAGTTTAGTGCTGGGATATGATTAACACTCAGATTTTGTTGACAAAAAAAAAATACGAATGCTCTTTAATCAATTGAGAAGATACATAACAAATAAAAAGTTGATTGGAACTGTCTCATGTTACAATAACTTTTCTATAGAGCATTGGGCCCCTGGTCACTAGCAATACTCATGCCTGAGCTGCATGCTTGAAAGTGTTCTGCAGAAGGAACATTCACAGCACATGGAAGCGGAAGATTAAGCCAGATTTTCTTCCATGAATTATCTAATACTATGATGATTTGTTATGATTCTTTCTCCAGACATTCTGAGCACCTGCTATGTGCCTGGTATTGTTCTAGGCATTGAAGATACAAAGATAATGCGGCTTGGCCAATAGCCATGAGGAACTAGTACTGAATAATTAAGAGGTTCTAAAGTGTACTTATAGATGTAAATTCTTAGAAGATAAAAATAAATAAAACTGGGCAAATTTTAGAGATGTTTTGAACAAAATAGGAGGAGGAGAAGTCTGTTGAGGGGGAGAACTAGCTATAAACATGAACCTAGAGTCTTTCCTATATGAGAAGGGAGAATTTGGGGAGTGAAGATCACATGCTATGTTGCTGTAGGAGAATTCCAATAGTGATTGTGTATTAGCATTTACCTTCAATATATGATGCGGGGCTGGATGTAAATTAGTAGATTAATTAATTTGGAAGTATTTTGAATTTCTTGGAACAAATATGCCTTCACACTACTCTCCAAAACTCATAAAAGTAATTAAGTCTCCTTCTTCCTAACCTCTACCCTATAAGCCTGTAGAAGCATTGACATGAAATGGATCACTAAATCAAGGAAAAGTAAGGTTTCTGTTGACTAGGACAAGGATGCTAGCAGTATATACAAAGGGACCTTTTGATTTCTTTGCTGTACATTGGGGGAATACTGGCCTTCCTTTCTAGTATCCTAGTCCCTCAGGCTGCTCGTCTTTCACATGGGTCCAAATATGTCTTAACACAGAATTTTTATCTCTATCTGGGACATGATGCCTAGGTGGGTGGGGGATTCCCCTGTTTTGTTTAAATCATAGTTGTCTTGGGTTTGGCTAGCATGTTCATGATTAGTTTACTGACAATTGGTTTTTTTCCTCTTATACCATATGTTATTCCATGATTCATCAGCTTTGAGTCTGTTGCCTTGAAGGTGAAACAATTTCTTCCAATGTTGATGTTTCAAAATCTCATAGATAACAAGCATACACATATGCAGAGTCTTTGCAGAAGTTTTAAACATTTGGAGATGAATGAATTATGCTGCTACAAATGGAAAGGAATAGTGATAAATTATAGTGGTGATATACAATCACCTTTTGTTAGGTGGTTGCTTAAACATTGATATTAGTAAAGCCTGTATGCTTTATTATATTTCTTTATCTTATAAAATTGTACATGGTATCTGTTATTTCCGATTTTTAAAGATTTTCTTAATTGCTTTTATTTACATGTGTTTTAATATTTTAGACTGACAAATCTTTACTTTTGGAAATAGAGCTTAAATTCCAAATAAATCATAACATTAGCTGTTTATATTGTAATGGTGACGTCTCTTCTATATAAATATAGTATTTGTACTCAAGAAATATTTGTACCTCAAGTACAAAAATTGAGGTATTTGTACCTCAAGAAATATTTTTTTCGCTTCTCATATAAATAGTAATCTTTCAAAATATTTTAATGGAGCACATTACATTTTCTGAGTACAAAACAAAGCAGTCATTTCTGCATGGGCACTTTCTAAGTATATAGATGATTAGGCTTCTAATAAACATGTACTAAATTAGGTTTCTGCATAGTTTTAATCAATGCACTTAGTACATTGCATCATTTAGCCACCTGTCTCTTTTCACGCAGAATATCAGTGATTATTTTTCAATGAAGAAAAAGTCTTTATAATATCATGGTGTAAATGTATATGTAAATATCTGTATAAGTTGTACATTTGAAGAGAGATTTTTAAACGATTCTGATTCTCAATATGTCTCCTTCTCCCCTCCCCCTTACCTGGTTATAGCTCCTCTTTGGTTCAGGTGTGCTGGTGTCCCTAAGCCTTTCTGGGCCACAGCTGGAGAAAGTGATGATTGATAGAAGCCTAGTGGGGAAGCTCATCTCAGACACCATCAGCGATGGTAATTACCCCCATGTGCAAATCAATTGCCTACATTAACAGTGGGACAAGAGAAATAGTGTGTCAACAGGTAGACTAATTACCACTAGGGACTTGCAAACCCAACAAGTAATTGCTTGTAATAGCATACTTACAAACCTTGGGACCAATAGAATTTCCACTAATTTTTAATGTCAAACTAATGTTTAATGTTTTTTCTTCTCATCAAGTATTAGGCTTATATTTTCATTTTCCACTCTTTTAAAAATGTGATTATATTTTCAAAATAGTTTTTTTTTTAATTTTTCCAGAATCATTTCCTCTGTCATTACTACTACTACTGTTTTATTACTTTTTTTGGCAGTACTTGGATTTAACTCAGGGTCTTATACTTGCTAAGCAAGTACTCCACCACTTGATCCATGCCTCTAATCCTTTTTGCTTTAGTTTGTTTTTCAGATAGGGTCTCATGTTTTTGCCTGGGGCCAGCCTCAGACTGGGAACCTCCTACTCTGGCTAATGTGTGGTAGTCGACAGATGGGAGCCACCACCTCACATGTTTTTTGAGATAGGGCCTTGCTAACTTTTTTGCCTGGGCTGGCCTCAAACTATGATCTTCCCATTTCTGCCTCTCAGATAGCTGGGATTACATGCATGTACCACCATGCCTGGCCCTCCTTCCTCTATTATTGATAGTTCAAATATTTTCCATTTCTGAATGAATTTTGAATAAGTAACACAAATATGGTAATATGGCCATCAGTAAAATATACTGGTTTGGTTCTTATAGGAAGCTGCTTTGTTACTAGTCTATGAATACTAACTTTTGAGAGATTTGGGGCTATATTTTCTAAATATCAAAAATCAATGTGAAATACACTGGACAAATTGGTTCTATTAAGTGACAGCACAATTGGTGTATAATTGGTAAAACCACATAAGAAAAAGATTTTAAGCCACTTACTGAATAGAAAGGCTACTGATATTTATTGAGCCGTAAAAACTCTATGCTGGGTTCCAGCTTGCCTATTTCATTTAGTCCAAGAAAACAACCATATAAGGCATAGTTACTTCCATTTTTGTAGGTAAGAAAGCTGAAGCTAAGCTACGCAGGAATGTGGCCAGGCTTACATAGCTAGAAAGTGGTGGAGCTGAGATTTGAACACAAGTTCTAAATTACACCCCCCTTTGTCTTTCTGCTCTACTTAGGCTGATTCCCGAATTTTTAAGATTATGTTCTTTTATTCAAGGTAAAAAAGATCTAAAACCAGATTGCATTATCATGAAAGACTGAAAATGATCAGTATCTTAAATTAAAAATCAAAGGAAGATGTGGTCTAGTGAAAAGAACTGAGGTGAAAGTAAAGAGACCTGTCGGCTGCATTCTCTTACTAGCTGCCTCTGAATAAGTCAGACACAATAGCATCACCTTAAAGAAAGTGCTCAGCAGGATGCCTATAATTAGCAGCATTACTGATAATAACAAGTGGGGTAGGATTGTAAGCATGCCATTTCCCCTTCCTTGTATGATGCTAAGGGTGCTTCCCTTTGGAAGATGTTTCATTTTCATATTCTAAGACTCAAGCCCTTTGTTGACATTGCAAATGAAATAGTGACTGTGATGATTTTGTCATGTAGATGCTCCTCTATAAGAATTAAAAGGAGACTTCCAACATTATTTGTGTCCCTGAGTTATCTTTTTTCACTGTTTCTTTTATTTGTACTCAAAATAATATACTCTCATGGGATATAATAACAATGTGGTTTCTTGGCAGTTCTCCAGATTCTCCTGTAATTGTGCAGATCCACCGTTGGTCACTGCTTGCACGGCCAGGGGTGTGGAAATAAAGAAAATGTGTAAAGCATTCAATAATTTCTTTATGCTAGGAACAGTACATTTCTCAAATTCTTATTATATGTTTTGTCAGTAATTTCTTATAACATTAATGGCCCTTTATTTAGCCTATGATATTAATTATCTGCCTATTTATATGTTTTAGAAATAAAGCTGTATAAGTATTTTTGCTAATCTTTTTAAAATATTATTTTTTGTAATGTACATATTGGGTATAATAAGGCTTTATTTCTTTCAGCTTGTATATCCTCTAAAGAAGTATTACTGATTTAAAATTTTTAAATAAAAATAGATTGGTAATAAACACTTATCAGTATCCATCCACTTTATTTTCAGATGGTTTTATATTATATAAACATAGAATCTAAGCACAAATAAAAGTAAATGGCTTTTTCTTTTTTCATTTTTAGATTTAGGTATGAAACAGCCTTCCTTATATCCTCCTCTAGTCACGGTTCCACATGTATCTCATTTGGTTGTGGTCCCTCAACTTCAGTTTATATTGTGAATTAAATCCATATGGTTAGATTGATGGCTGTTGTTTATTCCTGATATCTTTAACGTTCTTATAAAAAATTATGATGATATTTAGAAGACTTTAGTGATTCTCACTAATATTTATCTTCTGAAAGCCTATTGTGTTACAGTAGAAAAAAAATCTATTAATTCTTTATGTTAACCTGGTAACATCAAATCTTTTTTTAGCTCTTTTCACAGATAGTTTCATCATCTTATCATTTTTGACACAAAACAAATTATGTTTTATTCAGTTTATGAAGAAGATGGATTCTTCTGATGTAAACAAAAGATTGGAAAAACTCTCAGCCTTGGATTATAAGGTACAGCTTTCAGTATATATAGTCACATTACTAATTATTAAGGTATACTAGAGTATCACATGAGTTAATTCTACAGTTATTATTCTCGAACATTTCTGTATTTCAGAAAACCCTGAATTATTATAGGATTAAATTCAATTCACTACAAATTATGGCCATCCTAAGTTTTCTTTTTTACTTTCACTATATGGGGTGCAGTCCTAACAATGATATATTTGGAGCAATCTACATAGTACTTATGGAAGTCAAGACAGATAACAGGCAAATTTCACTTCTGAAAATGGTTTTCTTGTCAGTGGTTAGTATATATGCCATTCTCATTTTCCCCCAAGAACCCATGGAGCTGCTCTGGTTTCACTTCATGAGAAATGAAACAAGGAGGAAGGTACTTTCAAAGAGAAATGTAATAAGCAAGGATTGGAAAAACTCCCTACCCCCAACTATAACTGGAGAAAAATGCAAAAAGAAATTTCTTTCAGGTGTTAGTATCTCTCCCTTCACTAACTCCAGGTAATTTGTTTTCTTGTATCAGGGACTTTACATCTGTTAAGGCATAATTTTTATTTTAAATGATGTTTTTAAATTTTGCCACATAACATTTTAACTGCTGGGAAGGCATATTCTCTGGTAGGATGAGTATCTAATACATTTTCCAAGCTGTTTCAGTTCAAGGCCTCCTTTCAGCAATGACTTGTGTTTGCAAGATTGAGCCAGCCTCTGTGACGTGGATTTGAGACAGTTCACTGTTCACTGGAAACAGAGCTGATATCAGTTTCCTTAAAAAAGATGCACACTTATGCCATTCCTAGAGCATCTATAGCAAGGGCAAAGATTTTTAGAAGCCAGCTATGTGGCTTGTAATTTGTGTGTGGTTTTAGAAAAGCAATGTTTAACCTAACTTTTTGCACTTCAAGATTATTATTTACTGTGATTGAGGCAGTAGTGGTACAGAAAGAATTTAATTTCATTTAGTAGAAATATCTATTCTTGTAGGAAAGGGTTTTAACATAGAATAAAATGCATGAAATAAGTTTTTTATTGTGGTAATAAACTCGAGTCTGGTTTGCTTTGCTAGCTTTATATAGCTTCTATAAAACTTTGTATAATATTCATTTTCTTTAATTGGAAATTCATGATGCACATATATTTGGTTAGTCAAAAAAGAGAAAAAAAAATTCCCTTTAACATTCTTAAAGGGATGTTATTTTCCAAGTGACTAAGCGTTGATTTATTGAAATGTTTATTTCTAACATTAGTCTTTAAAATGTACCATATGCATTAACACAGCATTTCCAGCTGGTGTTGTTAATGCTATTACAAAAGTTGTAGAACTAGTTCCTCCACTTTAGGTGTGACGGATAGCCTGGGGAAGTCTAAACTGAAGTATAGTAGCTACCTGTTAATGAGAGCAGAGAAAATCTATCATAGTATCAATTTTTCTTATGAAAATATGTGCAAAATAGACCTAGTATTTGGGTCTTTATACCTTAAGTAAAGGAATTAACTCACTAACTCTTTCTGCCTTTAGATTTGGGAAATTAGGAACTTGGGCACTCCATATGATTTCTGTACATTAGAGAATTAATCTGTTTCACTTTGGAAAGCCTATGAATTTCATTTCCTAGTTCAATATTTAAAATATAGATATATGATAATTGCTCAAAACTGCCACCCTATCCATTGGAAGGATATTTTAAGAAACTTAATTCATTTTACTTGTCCTCTTGATCATCGTGACAGAATACTGATACCACTAAAACTCAGAGGAAACATGAAATTTCATATAACATAACTGATTTGCATTATGTGAGAACTGAAAATGCCAATCACTCATTTTAACTCTTTTCCTTATCTAGAAACTTGTAAGTAATATGCCTATTTGGCAAGTTGGACATCAAAATATAATGTGCATGTATTTTTAAGTACTTAACTTAGCAATTCTATTGTGGTATTTTTCTCAGAAAAAAAAAAGGCAGTTAAAATAGTTTTATTGAGAACTTCAACATAAGAATTTACAGTTAAAAATATAAAGTGCATCTGTGTTTTGTCATTGCCTATTTGGATTTTAAAACAAGGAGGTGTGGTATAGAATATTATAATTCTGCTTTTCTTTACAGCTGTGCCATAATTTAATTATTTCAGATTGAAATATTTTTGGCAAAGAAAATTGCAGAGTAAATATCCTGAAACTGTTGACCTTTAGCAAGTTTTCCTGTCTACATTTTGAAAATCCAATTCAATTTAACAGTGAAGGGACAGTGCAAGGAGTTAAATGTTTACCATGAGAGAACAACACTGGTAATTACTTTGATTTGGGTTCCTTTTGATGTGCATTCAGAGGATGAAGAGGTCAATAATATTATGGCCATGCAAATAGAAAAGGGTTCCTTTTGACCATATTGAAAAAAAAAAGCAGAGGATTATTAAAGCATTAACCTTGATTTTAATGGCCTTGGTTGAGTGGTGAGATCACAATTTGGATGAGCCTGATTATTTACTAAATACAATACATAAATGCAACGGGTTCTTAACACCCATTGCACTCTGGCATTATCGCATTACTGCCATCCTTTGTTGCCTTGCAGACAGGAATATGAAAGCAATCTGTCATGTAGTAAGACTGGCTCCAGAAGCATTTCTCTGATAAGAAGACCCCCTGCCCTTTGCTAGTGTCTGGTCCAGTAGGCTTAGCCATGCGCTTAATCCCCAGAAAGTGGTTCGATTATTGCTGACCAGCAATGGCAAGATAGGTTTTTTTTTTTTTTTTCTTCCAAGCTATCAACCTTCCATTAATTCCTTAAGCAGAAATACGGTGCAATCTATATTTCCTTGGCATGTGTCACCCAGATGGTGCCGTGCTTATGTTTTCAAATAACCATGTTCCAAAATAACATAGTTTGAATAATAAATTCTACAAATCCTTCCTAAGAAAGAGAAGCATAATTCTCAGAAGCTGCATAAACTTTTACGCATGATGCTGTGGCTTATCCCTTTTATGCAGAATGTATGTGTATATGTCTTATATATTCTTTTAAGAGACATTTGCCTCAAGTTGGTTTTCCATTTATTGTTGTCAGTCATTGTTAACATGTTATGTCTTAAACAGTAATCAGACACTCTTGGTCAGCAGCACTGAACTTGTCATTTAATGCAGCTAGTCTTGAATCCTGTGTGTAGGTCGATGCTGTCAAGCAACCATGACTGTACATTTTGGTATTGATTGGAATTGCTGCATCCAACTCCTCCTTAACTCACATTTTTTCTTTTCCCTTTCCTCTGCTAAAAATGGGGAGAATTTTGAGCATATGTCTTTTTTATATACGTGTCAAAAGAATTTGGTAAATTCTGACACCCTCTTAAGCACATGTTTAACATGCATATTTACTTGCATCTATCTGCATTTACAGATGCTTTAATTTTTGTAATACTTTGAAGATTTTGCATCTTTTAAAGAAATATTTCTCATATATTTTTTTAAACCATTAGATTTCTTATTGTGAAATACCTGGCCCAGTAAACAGGACAACACAGCGTCATCTAGCCATCAATTGTGTTCAGGATGTAGTTATTTGCTGGTGGCCACTGGTCAGTGATGATGCATGGCCTTGGGCCCCAATTTCTTCTGAGAAGGACAGAGCCAATCTGCTGCTTCTGGGTTGTGCTCAAGGAAGACTGGAGGTAAATCTAAAACAAATGTTTACATTTTAATGAAGTGTACATAAAATGGTATTAGTAATTTGTCAATTCTACAGTAAATGTGAATACTTTTTTAAACCTATAACTGATTTTTTTCAAATATTCTAAATAAGAAATTACATATGAAATGAGATCCTAAGAAGTATCATAGCTAGAGGGTAACCAGACAATTCCAGGGCTGGCTGGAATAGTGTAGCAATTAAGCGCACAGGCTTAGAGTTCAAATCCTAGTGCGGTCCCTACCTAGCTCTCTCTGCGTGACCGAGTTATTTGCTTCTATGTGTTCATTATTTGAAAAATAGAGTTAATGAAGAGAAGCAGTTAAACATGTACTTAGAGAAATACTTACATATAATAAACTCTGAATCACTGTTCAATATTATTAGTACTGTCTTACTGTTTGCTTATGATTCCATGCCTATAAAAACTGTTACATTGCTCTTCAAACTTCAGTCAGTCAATTAACAGTCAAATGTCTACAAATCATCAGTATGACAAGAGGATGTAAGGAAGGTAGAAAACTGCAGCTTTCTCAGTCCAGTATCCTATCTCAGATGGGAGCATCTCCTCATTCTGTCTATTCCTGACATGGCTTAATAACTTACTTATTCATATCGATGAATCTGTGTGTATTTTCAGTTGTACCAGTACTTTGAATACAAATTCTCTGCTCTTCTTTTTTTATAATTAAAAAAAAAAGAACTCCCTCCCTGGGAGTTAGTTTTACCTGGGTGACATAGTATATTCCTATATTTAATCTACCTACCTCTTCTGGTTTTATAAACGTCAAAACTGTCTTTTTTGCTTTTGTTTTTTGAAACCAGCCTGGCTTCGAACTCATAATCTTCCTGCTTCAGCTTACCAAGTGCTGGGATTATAGGTGTGATGTACCATGCCCAACTTCAGGCTCTCTTTTAAAACCAAAACTCTTTAATATTTTATGTGAGCTATGTATGTATGTATGTCTTCCTTAAGAATCCCCCCAATTTCTTAGTTTTCTTTTTGTGAAGCTTTTCCAATTCATCTGTAGTGATTACAATGACTTGTGTGCTTGAGGTGTGGATTTTGTGATCTGTACATCCTAGTCATGCCCACCATTTTCTTTTTTATTGATCTTGTCCAGAAAAGACTTCATCAGAATGACTAACACAATTAAGCTAATTAGTATTCTAGTAAGTGTTCTGTCATATGATAAAAATAAAAATAAATCAGCTTTTAGCTAACTATTTACTAATTACCTTTATTTGAAATGAGTGCGCTAATATGAAAGTTAAGGGTCTTAAAATGGTCTACATCCCTCACTGGCTGGTATCATCTAGACTATGGGCATTAGAGTTGAACAAACTGGGTTTACCTGTTGATTGTATAATATACCAACTATGTGACTTACTCAGGTTTAGTCCTTCTAAGCTTCTGCCTGCTTCTAGCTACTTCTGTGTTCTTGGTTTGGATAGATCACCTATCCTGACAGACATTATTTTTCTTACTTTTAAAATGATAGATTTAAACCAGATAGGTCACCTCTAGTTTCCTTACAGCTCTAAAATGTGCTTTTGTGGATTCTCAAGTACAGATCTGATTTAGAAATTGTCTGCTTTAGGAGGCTAAAACCAAATTCAGCCCCAGCACCAAAAACCCAATGATTGGCCTTGACCTACCTTTCTAGTATTATTTTCTTATATAAACTTATGCTCATTGCCTCATTATTTTTCATGTCCTGCATGTACACATTAATGGTATTTCTGCCTGAAATAGTGATGTCATTCAGCAGCTGCTGAGCATGGCCATGAGTAAGAACTGAATTTCATACTAGGAGATATGACTATGAAATTGTCCTGCCTACAAGGATCTTAGTGTCTGTCGGTGAGAGGCAAATATGAAAATGTGTAAGTGCGTTGAAGCGTGGAGTGGTGCTGTGGATGCAGTATGTGTAAGCTCTAATGGGAGCCATAGGGAGTGATTGATTCTGTTTAGATGGTAAGGAGGGAGGATTAAAGCAAGCTTCACGGTGTGCTAAAATAGGAGACTGGTACACAATTTTATTTGCTATTCTTATCCTTTCTAGGTAGGTTTAATATCAAGGGGTATTAGCCCCATGGAGTAACTTGGCTAGTCTTTTCTTTTTCTACTCTCTGAAATAGAACCAAAGAGAATTATCTGATACTTGAGGTTTTGGTAAAACTTAGCTGTTAAACTCTTTGCTGTGATGTCTTTCAAGGAGGATAGATTTAAACAATTTTTTATTTCATTTTTAAAGCATTAACTGTTTTTTTGAGGGGAATTCTAATATTTTAAGTGTTTTCTATATTTCGTATCTTAATAAAATTATCCACTTTACAAAGTTGTAAATGATATTTTTGTATGATTGTGTGTGTGTGTGTGTGTGTGTGTGTGCTGCTGGGGAACAAACCTAGAACCCCTCTCATGCTAGGCAAGTCCTCTGCCACTGAGCCACACCCCAGCTCAAGCATGACTTTTTAATTCCCTCCTCATTGCATAATGTTCCCCTCTTACTTTTAGTATTTTACTATATACAATTCATATTTTTGGCAAGAGCTTTTGTTTTTGGACTTGGCCTTTTCTGTTATTTTATCAAAATTAACCTATTGGAAAAATTTGTAAAATTTTATTTTTCAGAAACTCATTTGAACTTAGTATGCAAAAGGGGAATGTGTTTTGGAAGAAATAAGTAGGGAAGTAACTGTTTTACTTTGTTTTGTGTGAAGACTTAATCTTTATGAAGTGTAGTTTCTTTTTTTTTCTTTGAAAAGAATATCATGAATTAAAACCACCAGTCTGTTACAAAAGTATTCAAGCATATCTCTTTAAATTTTTTTCACTAGCAGTCAGGGGACTTCTTGAAGTAACCATCAAAATAATGATATGATATGCTTTCAACCCTAAAATTAAAACTAAAAACCAGCAGCCTCAGAGAGGAGAAATTTAATCTTTGGATCTGTTAAACTATAGAATTGTAAAAAAGCATTTCCCATCCGGATTCAATCAGAAATAATAATAAGCTTTTATTTGGACAGTGGCAGGATCCTAGAACAGTAGTTCCTAGCCTTGGCAACACGTTGCAATCACCTGCAGAGCTTTTAAGATGGGGCCACCCAGACCAGTTCCATCAGAATCTGTGGACAGGAGGGGGCATCAGTAATCTTTGATGGGTTCCCTAGGTGATTCTCATGTGCATCCAAGTTGAGACCCACTGCTTTACAGCAAACTTAAAAAAAAAATGAAAGCCATCTTTTTTGCATAACAGACCATGGAAAGGATAAAGCCCACATACTGAAGCAAATAAGAGTTTTAACAGTAGATTCTAAGTAGAAAATTGGCTTACCAAGCAGCTAAAAAAAGAAAAGAAAACAAAGGAAACATAGAAGTAAGCTTTCTGTGACTGAATTATCTGTCTTTCAGAGGAGAGACACTTTTTAATTTATTTTATGGATATTAGAAAAACGCTGGTTTAATTTCACACCACGGAGTTCTACACAACAGTCCATATCTTAATTAGAAACACAAAGCAAAGGGAGTTATGTAGTCTAAGAAAAAATTTTCTTTTGAAAAATATACAACAGATACGACAAAAAAAACAACAACCAAGTTTTTAATCAGTAAATTCATTTAGAATGTATTTTAACAGTGTATGTGTGGATTATCATGTGTAATATGGTAATTATTTTTATTTAAATTTCCACATACTCTTTATACTTCCTTTTGCAAAGTTATTGCTATCTTCCTAAAACTACTTTATTTATTCTCTTTGACAGTAATGTGATGACAACAGCATATACTGTCCTTTTATATTAAAGCAGGCATTTTAACTTTTTGGATGTATGGATCTGATAATGCTTTCTGAGTATGGTAGTAATCTCACAATATTTTGCTCAGAAAAGGTCACCAGAATTTGTTTAGCAAATTAATTAGAAACATATAACCAGAACTATTAAACTTAAAAACCTGCTGTTAGGGCTAGAGAAACATAATCTCACTAAGATACTTTTTTACCCCCACAAGAATTAAACACTATCAGGCTGGTAAAATGGCTCAAATGGTAGAGCACCTGCCTAGCAAGTACAAGGCCCTGAATTCACCTCCCAGTACTACCAAAAGAGAGAGAGGGGAGTGGAGAGGCAGAGAGGGAAAGAGAGAGAGAGAGAGAGAGAGAGAAGAGGAGAAAAGAAACACTATTTTTGCAATGATTTTCAGGAGCAGTAACTTATAGGAAAGTAATAATGTGACCAACTGTTAATACAGTATTGTAGCACCCTAAAATACCCCCATGTGCTCTGTCACAATCTTAACTCTTCTTCTTTCCCCCAAAGTAACCACTGTCAAACTTTTCAACACTTTCTCATAAACTCATACAGTTTTTATCACCTAAGTGCGAATCCCCAGAAACCATAGTTTAATATTATTTGTTTAAAGCATTTCAATATGTAAGTTTCCATCCATCCCTTTCTTTTCCTTAAAATGTATCTGTTGAAACTGTTGTGTTTCACAGTCTGGATCTTGTTGTTTGTATATGCATGGCATAGTTCAACATGTTTCTGTGTCCTTAGAAAATTCTGCAGTTTAGTAGTAGGTTTTGGCAATAACATATGATGTGTGTTCTTTCATTGGGAGGCACATAATTTTAGTTTCTCTTGCTCTCTCTTAGCTTCTTTTCTTTTGGAAGCTCAGGTTATCCCATTTTGGCCAGTGGAGCCTCATCAAGTTGGCTCCTCTTTTTGTCATGATCCCTGCAATCTTGGGTAGCTTCCCTACTGTCTGATATTCAATATGTTTTATACTCATCTTGTACATTTCCTATCCTAGACTGGAATTAGTCATTTCTTCAAAACAGTCTGATTTAGTTTATGTGAAATTATATTTTAAGCCCAAGTCAGGCTATTAGGGACATTGGCCTATTTTGGAAGTTGGTTATTTTTTCTAGGTTTCTTGAGTAGAGTTAAGAGATTTTATACATGAGTATATAT